AGAGCGTCGGTATCAGTGAATTCTCTGCAACCGCATCTTTTTAGAGGGATCCCCATTTCACCATACATCTTCTGTGCCCAAGCTTAGATTCTTCCTGATAAGGACTCCCAAATGTGCTGAATTTGGCATGAAGTTATTTTGTGCACTTAGCAGACCACAAAGCGGGGGAGAAATGCCAACAGCTCATTAACCCTTGTATCCCTCTCCTTTTAACCATATTCATTATATCATTTACCAGTGCAGGAGAAGCACTGCAGCCGACTGTCAGGAAAGACTTGAGGGTCAAGTACAGCATCCAGGCATCCAGTCCCAGAGCTGCTCAAGTGAATAGTAATAGGGAAATCATCTGCTGGGATGCCGCTGTTCCTGCACTACGCTAACCCATAACGCTTCTCAGTTGAACAGCAACCTTTAATTTTTGTATTTTTTTTCTTAAATGCGTCCATAAATCTGGATGCCCAAACCACGACAACTCCTTATCAAATTACCCAGGTGCTGTATTTCTGGGTAGTTTACAAAATCCCAACCTATAAACAAGAGTAAAGTTGTGGGTAAGAAACTACTGGTGATTTCTGATCCAGTGCTGGTCAGAAAGTTTCCCAGATGATCTTCAGTTTCTGTCACCAATGGCAATGTCTTTAGAAATACCGCAGCCTGCAACAGGGGTGGAAGGGCTATGAATAGTACTAACACCGTACAATTTAATTCCGTTTTTGTCAATGAATCAGCAGTATTCGGACAGCCGTAAATCCTTGCAATTCTCGCACTCTGCCTGCTGACGGTGCGGGACGGCGCGCTGAGTGCCTGTGCCGTGCACCGATGAGGCTGTTCTGCGCACGCTGTTGAGCCACTGCTTTGTTGAATAGACCTCTGGATCACTGCCGTCGGGGTCAGGGTCAAGAAAATATTCCTCGGCGAAGTAAAATCTACCATATCGTTAACGTGGTGCAGCTAAGGAGCCTTCATAACGTGTGTACGTGCGTTACACCAGAAAACAGCGTAACGAAAGAGCCGCCCCATTCCCCGGGAGGTACGGCAAGGAGGCTACTTTTTATTTTTGTCTTGTTTGCAAGAAGATAGCAAGTGTGCCTTAGAAGTGCAAGTTTTTAGCGTATTTTAATGGAATGTGAAAGTTTCCCTGTTCCCTTCTGGTTGCCAAAAGGCAGGGATGGAGGGAAGGAGAGCACTGAACGCAGGGGGGCAGCTGGGGCCCTGTTACCTGCAGATAGGTAGGGCAAAAAATCATGAAGGAAATCTGTGTGTTATTAGCCGGCTCGGTTAATAAAAAATGAATATATCTGACACATTTAACAGTTTAAATATCTCTTAAAATATTTTACGGGCAAAATGTTAAAGCCACAGCTATTTCTGCACTGAGCCGCAGAACTGTGAAGGAGTTGTCTCATGATGTTTTGCGTGTAGAAAATGTCAAGGAAGGCAAAAAGGGCAGCTTTAGGTATGGGAAACAACAGAAAAAACCCTGCATATGCTGATACCTCTTTGTACGTGCACTTGCATTTGCAAACACACACATATCCTCTTTGTGCAAAGCTGTTTTGTGCTGGAGGAGTAGAATAAGATGAATCTCGGAGCAGAACAGACTTTGAATGCAGCAGCTGTAAGAGGAAAACACTGGAAGTAAAGGACACCGTCAAGTATGAAGTTCAGATAGGAGCTGCTACAACAAACGCACAAAAGTGGAAGGAGGATGATCATATGCTTGGATGGGGGAGGACCTGGCAAGGCTGCTGAGCTCTGGGGCGTGTGTCCAACTTTACTGTGATGTCCCCCACACTGTTGTTCCCAAGAAAGCTACCAAAGGTGACACCAGCAGCCAGCACATATGGTCAAGGGGAAGAACTATCCCATTTCTCTTCCCACAACTATTAATGCGCAACCAGATGCTTCTCGATGGGATAGAAGTAGCGCATGTTGCGTTGTCACAGGACTAAAGACCAAAGTCACACAGCTATAGATGTTTACCACCATCAAGCACGAACTTGAGTGAAACCATCCTTCTCTGCACCACATTACCATAAAGGGGTTGAAGAACTAATTGGGACTCACTGATAAATTATGGCCCGTGTCCTGCTGCAAACACCACCTTCGCATTTGAAATGCAGGATAGAAAACTGTCCTAAATGATCGCTGACCTTCAAACAGAAGGGGGAAGAGAGCCAGACCCAACTTGACAATATCTTCTCTGAAGCAAAAAAACCTATATTTAACTGGATTCTCATGAAAGAGCACGTGTGCCACAAGAGGATAAATTTGGAGCATTCTCAGTTTCAGACTGAATATTTTATATAAACACACTAAACAATATAGGAAAAATACAGTGCTCTCCACAACTGTAATGCTCAGTGAGCTAAAAAAACAGACTGGGCCAGATCTTAGTTATAATTCCCAATGCAACCTATTCTTGAGTATAAAGTCTCCTGAGAGATACCTTACATAACAGGAAATTGTGGATAATCACAGAAAATACATCAAAGCGATTTCAGATATTTCTAACACAACAAGTATATACTAAACGTTAGGGGAAAAAAACCAAACACCAAACCCCATGCATATTAGCTTTTAGGTTTTTATTTTGTATGGGTTGGAATATTTCTTCCACGAGCAGGGCTTATAAATTTGCTAAGGCGTGGAGTTCTGACCAGTCTGCTGTGTGTTATATTCAGACTGTATGATCTCAACAGGAGAGCACAGAAAGGGAACAGACATAGCGGATCAGAAGCAGTCAGGGAACATTAACTGCATACATGCATAATTATTACTACAGTGACCTGATGGAAATTTTGCAAGGATTTCAAAATACTGCTGTGTGCTAGAAACATGAGGAGTGAAACCTTTCTCAAGCCCTTCTGTGTTTCTGTACACATGCTAACAAAATAGAAATGACAAATAATAATACGAGAAATATTAATTCATAACAGCCTCTCAAATTGCAGCAGGGATTTTCAACAGAGAGTAACTGGGTGCTTTGACAATAGTAGAAGACCGCAGTGATACACGAAATCGAATTGGATGCTATACCAATGTAGTCCATACGGGAATAACTGTAAAAACAAAATGCAAGAGCAAGGGACTCAGTGCCATAGCCTTCACGGTCTGTGTCATGGATCCATCCCTCTGTCTTTATATATGCATCTGCTGATTTTGTATGATACAGAAGTACTTAATCATAACTTAAAGGTGGAAAAAGGAAAATTCAAATTTATCACGCAGTTTGTTTCTTTTTCCAACACAGTACAATGGTGTTGAACACTGCACACTAACTTAGTGAGAGTGCTGGGGCCGAGTTGGGGACTGCAGATTATGGAGTTTTAAAATATGCTGAAATTAATGAAACGCAATCCACTGATCCGTGGTTTTATACCAGCCTGTCTCAGGCTAAGGTCAAACTAGAGAAGTTTTCTGACAAGAGCTATAGGTCTGACTCTCTTTTTGCTTTGCCGCTGACTTAGCTGGTTAGCTAAGTAAGTATAATATAACGCCTAAAATCCTCCAAAAGAAAAAATAAAATCTACAAATTTAGGTTAAAAACAAAAGTTATGGTAACATAAGTGTCTCTAAGTTTTGCAATAATCCTCCAGTACTTTTGCATCCCAAAAGGCTCCAGGTGTGCCCAGCCACTGCAAAATGGCAAGTTGTTTATCAGCATTCTACATTGCAAACTGGCACCTGTAATTTCACTCTCACTTTGCATCAGCAGAATTAAGATATCCAGAAGAACCCTTCTCAGACAGGTTTCTGCGTATTAATGCATAAACATTTATAGTAAAATGCCCTGTCTGTCACCCTCAAGGTGAGGTATACAGCATCCGATTCTTCCTCCTGCTCGGCCGCGTGTGTGCAGCGTGATCCAAGTGTTTCTCTCTGCTGGGTGGTGAGGGTGGCTGTATCAAGCGAAAGAGAGAAAATTAATATAAACCAGTCACTGACAGCACTGTTGTTAAACATTTGATTTTTTTTCCCCCCGTTTTTGCCTTTTTTTCTGGCTGGGAGGACCACGGGCAGT